CTCAGCCTCACTCATCATCAGAGAAATGCAAATCAAAACCACATTGAGATACCACCTAAGTTCAGTAAGAATTGTCATCATTAATAAAATAAAAAACAACAGATGCTGGTGAGGATGTGGAGAAATGGGAACACTTCTACATTGTTGGCAGGAGTGCAAACTAATTCAACCTCTATGGAAAACATTTTGGAGATTTCTAAAAGAACTAGAAATCAACCTTCCGTATAACCCAGCAATCTCCCTTCTGTGAATATACCTGGAGGAAATAAAATATTCTACAAAAAAGACACCTGTGCACGCATGTTTATTGCAGCAGTATTCACAATAGCAAAAACATGGAACCAACCGTGCTGCCTATCAAAAGTGAACTGGATCATAAAAAATATGGTACTTGTACATGATGGGCTGTTACACAGCCATAAAAAAGGACAAATTTTGAAGTCTGCAGCAACTTGGATGGATTTGGAGTCTATCATACTCAGTGGTCTATCCAAAAACAAAGATCTGAGTACCGCATGTTCTCACTCATAAGTGGACCCCGGAGACCTATCATAGTTCCACCAAAATCACAGTAGTGGGACACTGCTGGCGCAGAGGGTGGGGTGGGGTATATCCAGAAAGCAGCTACCTGATCCCAGGGCTGCCTGAACCTAATCCAGGTAAACTGAAGCCCCAAACTTCACCTGGACCTAATGCACGCACGTATGCAATCCTGACTTGTACTCTACAACTTTAAAATAAAAAAATAAAAAATATATATTGGTACTAAAAAGAGAAGTGATCATGAAAATTCCATAAGGGGTTTCTTTTAAAATCTCTAAAAAATTACTACTCGCATTTTTATTTTTCATTCTTACCACAATTCGTTTTTATGAATTACTTATTATATCTATTTCAGTGAGAATTTTGTTTCAGGTTCCAGTAATTGGATAAGCAATCAATACCCTGGATATTAAAGAAAATTTTCCCAAAGAAGAATAAATTTCTTTATGAATGATCCTTTGCTTTGGTGAGGAGGCATACATTTCAAAGTAAGTGTCACTGAAACTTTTTTGTCCAGATATAGTCTCTCTTAATGCCAAGAATTATTTGCTGATTATAGCCTTAGCAAACAATGCTAATACATTATAATAATTTTAAAGAGTAAAAAAAAAATTAAAAGCCTAGATTATCTTGCGATCTGTAGCCACCATCAATCAGTCCTATTTAGTGCCAACAAGACAAATGGCATCTATAGTTGGTGATGGGAGGTAGAGATAACGTTATCTCTATAAAAAGTAGCAGTGGAGGAAAGCTAAACATCTCATTGCCATAACGGAGGCAATAAAAGTAAAAGGTAAGGCAAGGTAAGAGAATGCAAGAAGTTGGTGAGGAATAGCCTTTATTTTCTTTTATTTTTCTTTAGCCTTAAAAGATCCAACGGATAACAAGGGTAGAAAGAGGGTGGAGAAGGAAGAGGAACAGGGACTAACAATGATGAGGTATTAACATTGGAACAGTGGGAAAAGTGGAGAGGTTGGAATTAGAAGACAGGACACTTGTTTCCTGGGCTCAGAGATGTTTGGGAAGGGTATTGTCTTTGTATATGCATCTTCTTAGCTGTAATACAAAAATAACAATGTAAGACAGCATGAGGAAAGTCTTTCAAACACACACTATACATTAATTCCCACTTCCAGAGCAAGCCAGGTGAAAAACATCAGCCTAAAGGGAAGTGGGTTCGAATCCTGCCACATCACCCAGACACAGATGAAGACACAGGCTACTCTGTGGATAATGGCCCCCTAAAGGCGTGTCTCTTGGAGACTTTCATAGACGATAATTGAGCAGATACTGATGACATGCATTTCTGTTGTTGTTAACATCCTGGGAAAACAATTTACAAGGGAGGTTGAGCGATGACGGGACCTGAAGGCAGGAAAACTAAGAGTAGAACGCCTATCCTTTGTATGCAGAGGCCCCAAAGAGAATGCTTTAGTTTAAACATTGAGAAGTATTGTGAAATGCCCATATGGTTCAGGGAACACTCCCTTCCCACCTCCCATCTGAGCCACAGTGACCGCCCACCCAGGGCCACATACTGCTTTGCGCTGAGTACAGCATGGCAGTGTATCACTCTGTTAGATGTGCAGATTTCCTGGTTTTGCCCACTTTATTCACCAAAATACTGATTTCAAGTGTCACTTGTTTTCTTAGTCCAGATGTCTATTTATCATTATACTTGGAGAAGCCCTTTAATTTAGATATCTGGCATTTTATTTTCCCCCCATTAATTCTCTTTCCTTCCCACAAGAATGTAAGCACCAGGAAGCTATGGACTTTATCATCTGTCGTGTTAGTGAAAGTATCCCCATTGCCTAGAAGGTACTAGACGTATTATGGGCACGGAAAAAGTTAGTGCTGATGACTGAATGAATGAAGGGAGTGGCAAAAGCCTGTTACCGTGCAGCTACAACAGACGACTGCCAAAAAGAAAACTATATGATCTTATGGTTTCCAACATACGTGGATTCAGATGAGACAAAACATTTGTCTTCCCAGGGAGGCCACAGCAACGAGCTTTGGTGGATGGTTTGCAGTGCAACTGGCAGTCTCTTTGAAGTCTGCACTACCGTCTCTTCTCCTTTCGCCTTGCCTTTAGTCTTTTTCCTTCTGCCCTTCCTTGCCTCACCACTGACTCCACAGTCTCCGTTGCATCATGGAGAGGATCTCCTTCCTGGATGGACAAGGTAGGTTCTTATTGTTCAACTAGGAACAGATTCAAGTTTTTCAAAGTGTTAAGGCATCTTAACATCTGTAACAAAAGCAACATTTCTTTTGTTACATTGATTGCATTTCTATAGCATAGTTTCTGTAGGTTATTATGCCACCAAAGTCTCTGTTGTTTTTGTATTCTTGTTACAAATGAGGAAGGCAGTGGGGAAAAGAGCAAGGTTGGAAGCTGGAGGGGTGCAGAAAAACCTGCTTAAAACATAAGCTTATCTGGAGATGGCAACTCAGAAAAGCGATCACCTGAGACCTTGTTAGCAGATTTTCTTTCAGCAGGTTAGGGATGGAGCTCAGGATTTTGCATTTTTACTAAGTAACCGTGTGGTGCATGGGTGCACACTTTGAAATGGAAATTTCTAAGAGGAATCTTCACTTTTTATCCCTGCCCTACAATCTACTGAAAACAGAACTATGCAAGAAAAAGCAAGATGACTTGGAGTCACCTGGATCTTGATTTGAAATGTGGTTCCACTAGTCCTTAAGAAATAATTCTTGCGAGGCAAGAATTATTTTAAAAATATAGAACCTCTTTAAACCTCAGTTCATATATGTATAATATACACATACTAATACAGGTATATATAGATATAATAGTATCTGTCTTATAGGATTGGTACAATAATTATTGTTATTATTATTATTTTTTTTTTTTTGCAAAGCACTTTGGCATGAGGCCAATCTTGATTTTTTTTCCCTTTTCTTTTCCCATTTCAAATTCTTCAGAATGGCATATGAGAACTCTCATGATTCGGCCTCAAATTCTATTTCAAACTTTATCTGTTCCAATTCTTGATCATTGTAATCACCTACACTCAGGCAGGTTATGATTAACATGATTTTATTTTTCAACCTCTGCATTAACCTGATTTAATTATTTCAGGAAATTCTTGCCTAGGAAGATGAAGTAGCAAATAATGATTGTTTATTGCAGGACCTTCCGAATTTGTTTATCTAAAAAAACAATTTGTTTTCATTAAGTAAATAGACTCTTCTCAGAACAATCGAACACTCAACTGGGCTCATCAAATAGTTGTTTACTCTTCAAAGATTCGTCAAAATACTCCCCTTTTGTGTCCATTAATTGTACACTATTACATTATAAACATTGCTCAGTATCATCAGACCACCTCAGTAAAAAACATGCCTGCGACTAGACCCCCAAACCATACAAATGCCACTTTTGTTTCTCCCCTTAAAAAATGCCACTAAGACTCTGTCAGGACAGTAAGTGACCTCTTAACTGCAATAAAAAATAAGCTTGTATAGCCGGGCACCTATAATCCTGGCTCCTTGGAAGGCTGAGGCAGAAGGATCGCTGGAGCCCAGCAGGTTGACTCTGTGGTGGCCAGGAGCGTGCCACTGCACTCCAGTCTGGGTGACAGAGTGAGACTCCAACTCAAAAAAAAAAAATAAGCTTGTCTTTGCAAACAGGTGATTTTACTGGTCTCTTAAGGAAATTGATAGTTGTAAATCTCTTCTAATAAAGTTTTCTAGACAAGTGTAATTATTTGTTATTTCCTGAAGGTACCATGCTTTTTAATATTCCATGTTCTGCACAATCAATTCTTTTTTTCTGTAATATTACTTCCTTTTATTTCCCTTCACAAACTCAGGCTAAATGCTCCTTCTTCTCTGAAATTTTTATTGAAACACGTTGGCAACTCAGACATAGATCACTCATGCTTCTGTGCTCCTACAGCAATTAGTAGGCCTTTTCTTTCTCTTTTTTTTTTTTTTGAGTATAAAGTCTCACTGTGTCACCCAGTCTGGAGTGCAGTGGCATGCTTATGGTGACTACAACCTCAATCTGCTGGGCTCAGGTGAACTTTTTGCCTCAGCCTTCCAAGTAGCTGGCACTATAGGCATGCGCCACCACGCCCAGCTAATTTTTTTTATTTATTGTAGAGATGAGTTCTCACCAGGTTGCTCAGGCTAGTCTCAAACCCCTGAACTCAGGCAATCCTCTCGCCTCGTCTCCCAAAGTGCTGGGATTACAGGCTTGAGCCACTGCACCGGCCAGTACCCTTTTCTATAGGAACTTATTGTCTTCTGATTACTTAGTGACACATTTTTCTTTTCCAAAGACGATGTGCTTCTTCAAAGCAGAGACTGTGCCTTACCCATCTCTATCATCAATGTCTCAAAGAATATAAAAACTTGCTAACTGATCAACAAATGCTGAATGAAAAACGTGTAGCTTAGCTATCTGTGGGAAGAAAATGAATAAATAAGTAAAATAAATATTTGTTAATAGAAACTTTAGCTTGTTTTCATAAATATTTTCTTTGCATCCTCTCATGCGGTAGTCCCCAACCTTTTTGGCATCAGAGACCATGTTCACAAAAGACAATTTTTCCGCAGGCAGTGTGTGTGTGGGTGGGAAGGCGGGTGATGCAATCAAACCTCGCTGCTAACGTCCATCTGTATTTTCAGTTGCTCCCCAGTCCAGCGTCACCACCGCGGCTACACCTCAGATTATCAGGCATTAGATTCTCATAAGGGGCGATCTAGATCCCTGGCATGCAGTCCTCAGTAGGGTTCGTGCTCCTATGGGATTCTGAAGCCGCTGCCCTGCCGCCTCTGATCTGCCAGCAAGCGGAGCTCAGGCAGTAATGCAGCGATGGGGAGCGCCTGTGAGCACAGGTGAAGTTTTGCTCATTTGCTGGCTGCTCACCTGCTGTGCAGGCCTATTCCTAGCAGGCCACGGGCTGGTGCTGTCCATGGCCTGGGGGTTGAGGGCTTCTGCTCTAGTGTTTTTTTTTTTTTTTTTTTACGTACCCCTGAGAAACGTTAGCCTCTGAAGTTGTAGCCCTCAGAGCCAGCAAAACAAGACCCTGTTGATGTCTCCATCTTCCGTCAGCAAGGTAATTTCTCATTTCCTTCTTATCTAGTCATTATTGGTGACAATTATAAGCATGAAGCTGGCCCAGGAGCAGATGGCTTTTTCCCTCTTGAGGAACATTTTACTTCCTCTGGCATCATTTAGCGCATAAATGTTGCCAGTTTCATGATCTGAAATTAAGAGAGAACGTTTTGTTTAGCCCAATCAGGCCTGTAGAAGGTCCAGGTTTTATAGTGTGAAATTATATTTAGCCAATGATGAAACTGAGGACTGAACAGTGACTTTTTTTCTTATACCCAAATTCCTAACTAAAAGGCTTGGGAGTCACTACCTAACAAGGACTTGCCAAAAAGGGTTTTATTACCCTATTACCCACACTAAGTTAGTTTTCCAACCTGACTCTGGCATAGCATCATATGACAGAGAGGAAAGGATGTTCAAATGTTCATATCAAGGGCATCAAATCACCCATGATGCAAAATATGTAATTGACAGTGGGGAAGGATACAGGCTGAACAGGGGCCATTTGGGTCACATTAAAACAGTCGCCTAGAAAAGACGTGAGAGTTCTTATTCTTCTGTAGCTGAGTTGGGCTAAATGTAAAAGTCACTTGCATTCAAAAGTGGACATTTTGTGCCCCCTCCCCACCTTCCCCACTTCTCCTCTCCTAGCTCGGCCTTGCCTGGCTGACCAGTCGTATCCAGGAGCCACTGCAGGTGCTGAAGTGGAAACAGCTGGGCAAACCAGACTCCCTGGCGATGAGCCAGTGGGCCAAGGCCGACAGCCGTGTGTCCAAAAGCTTGGGGTGGGCACTGCCCACCTCCCCTCCATCTGTGACTGCAAGGACATGGGACTACTTGAGGCTGGGTTCTGGTAATAAAAGATTGCTGCAATTATGTTTTCCCATCTGCCAAACATTGCAATTTTCTGCCACCGCATCTAAAAACACAGTGAAAGAACATTCTGTAAATTCCAAAATGTTACCTAAAATGTCAGCATGACCAAGAGACTTTGTGTCCCATCAGTGGTCACGTATCAAACATTGTTCATCTCGAGTCATGCTAAAACAGTAGCATCTCAAATCTTGCTAAAACTGCACACAGGCTTTGAACTTGGAGTGGGTGACGGGTTATGAATTTTTGGTATAAATACTGGAGTGAATTTGTGTTATTTGGAGCAGGCTTTGTGGCAGTGCTGCTGACCTGTCTCCCTATAATGTGGTTATAGAAATTAAATACTGCCTTTTCTCCCAGTCTCTGCCTCTCATATTTTAATTGGCCATGTGGGACAACAGTCAGTTTATTGGATTGGGTCATAACATTCTTACATGTTTAAACTTCAGTTGCCTTCCAAGTACTCTCCACTGGATGCAACACACCTATTGAGACATTTATCCCGTGCTCAAAACAGTCTTTGAACTCGTTGATTTTGATGCCTTTTAGTGCTTCTGCCGCTTTTTGTTTTACCTCTTTCACATTGGCAAAACATTTCCTTTTGAGCCTTTTTTCATTCAGGGAAACAAACAAGAAAAGTCACTCAGGACAAGATTGGGTGTATCAAGAAGGTGAGGCAGGGGGTCATGCCTTTTTTGGTCAAAAACTGAACACTCAGCGCAGTGTGGGCAGGTGTGTTGTCACAGTATTTGCCACAACTCGTGATGTTTCTTCTGGAAATCATGACACAGGCTTCTCAAAACTCCCAGATAAAAACTTTGGTTGATAATTTGATCTGGAGGAACAAATTCCAAGTGGACTACAAAGGGTCTGCCCTCTAAAATGCAATTCTTTTTTGCCTCCCCCTTCCGTATACCCATTGCACAGAGGAGATGGAGGCTCAATTAGAAGATGTGACTTTCGTGTGCAGGTGTCTTTTTCAGAGAGTGATTTGAATTCCTCTGGTATATTCCTAGTAGGGGGATTGCAGGGTCGTATGGGTGATCGGTTTTTCCATCTTTTAGGAATCATCAGACTGTTTTCCACAGAGGTTGTACTAGTTTGCACTCCCATGAACATTTGAATACTTAACCCTGAATGGCACTCCACATCTTTAAAATTAAAAATTAAAAAAAAAAGAAGATGTGGCTTTCCACAGGTCACACAGTACACGACAGAGTTAGTGCCAGGACCCAGAACTGCTGTTATTTTTTTTTGAGTTGAAGTCTCACTCTGTCACCCAGACTGTAGTACAGTGGCCGCTCCCAGCCACCGCAGACTCGACCTGCTGGGCTCCGGCGATCCTTCCGCTCAGCTTCCAAGTAGCCGGAATTATAGGCATGCACTACCACGCCCGGCTGATTTTTTGATTTATTGTAGAGATGAGGTCTCGCCAAGTTGCCCAGGCGGGTCTCGAACCCGCGGGCTCAGGCAATCCACTCACCTCAGCCTCCCAAAGGTGTGGGATTACAGGCTGAGCCACCGAGCCCGGCTTCTTTTGTTCTTTAATACAGATCTCTGTGAATATATTTAAGCATAATTATAGGAGAGATGTTACAGACCCTTCACATAGAATTTGATCAGTGTTTATTTTGAGGAAAGTGAGCTCAAACAGCAAGAATTTAATTGCATTCCCCATTTGAGAACAGTAATCACGAAAATAAATTAAAAGATTGAGTTCAAGATTGATTTTCTTGTCTTTGTAGCAACCACTGAAGCTTCAAGATGTTTGCAGAAAGACTTCTTCCAGAGACTGGTTTAACTTCCTCATGTTAGAGTATTAAGGACAATATTCAGTACAAAGTGGAATATTAGTCATTATATTGGGTTTGAAGTCAGACCTTTCTCTGTGGATGCTTCTACACTTTGCAAACACATTATCAGGGCAAATACATGCCCATGTAGATCATAACACATTAATAACTTGGATTGGGAGTTTGGTGACCGGCACTAGACATGACTTTCGTTTTACATATAATTTTTCAACTAACTCATAATGATTCTACATCCACTTTAAGGATACGAAAACAGGCTCAGTGGCGTTAAGAAATGTGTCCAAATAAACTCACACAGGTGTTACATGACTGAGTCTGGATTTGAACCTAGCTTGATCTGATTTCAAAGCTTCTTGTGTTTTATGATGTTGCTTTTTCTCTCATCAAATTCTAGGCCCTTGGAAGCAGGGAGGGAGAGATGGGAGACTCCTCATGGAGGGAAGGGAGATAAAATGAGTGGACAGAGCAGAGGTTTGCGGGGAAAAGAGAAAGGCTATGGCGTGTGGGAATTCCTTGGGAACAAGGTCTAAGAAGAATGGCTTCTGGTTCAGGTTCTGGTATTAACTAGCAGAACTTTGGAGATGTCACATGACTATTCTATCATTTACTTTCCATTTGGTAGAATGTAAAAGTTGAACTTGACTAACAGTTTTCTAGTAAAGTTCCATGAGTTCAAGAGATTAAAAGAGTAGCTTGGTTTCTTGGAAGGCACCATAACAAAAAGTAGAGACCACTCACATATAAAAAGTATACATATCTCTACAATATATCTTACAATAATTTAAAACATCTTTACGGGACATTTGCTATGTGCTATGAATTGACTGGGTACCCAGTAAATTGTGTACATAGTTATGGGAGGAAAACACAGTCCACACCCCTCACAGCAATTACTGTCTCGGGGGAAAACAGACTTCCAAAGAAGGATCACTGTAATAAATACGTAACTGCAAGTTGTGGTAAGTGCCAGTATTACAAGTTCAGGGCGGTCTGGAAAACGGTAATGGATGATCACAAACCAGGCGATGTGGGGACAAAATGGAAGCCCAGCCCTCACCTGTACGATGACCACTTATCTACCTCACCCCGAATCGTATCCCACATCTTTAGCATAAAATAAAAAATTAGTGTGAACCTGAGAGATTTCTGAGGAAGTGACATTTAAGCCAAGACTTAAAGGACGACCAAGAAGTAGCCAGGGAGAATATTCCAGGAAGGTCAATACGTGCAAAGCCGGGAGGTAGGAAGAGCCTGGGCTTTCGGAGAAATGTTCTGTATCAGACCTATTTGATGTGCCCACCCAATTTTCTGGGTCCTGCCAGTCCCGTCCCCACTGGTCTTGGCGGCTGTCACGATGGAGACCCAGACCACCTCCTGACACCATCAGTTGTCACACTTCTCTCGGGATGGGACAAAGCCTTGGCAGGGCCTCCATCACACTTCACATCGCAGGTTTTATATGAAGGTGCTTAAAGCGTCCAAAAAGAAGCTGGCTTCCATGTTGTAAGAACTTTTCCAGAGCATGTGTAAGGACTCCTCCAGAGCATGGAGCCAGATGGGGCCATTTTCACATGATTTTAGAAAACTAGAAAGCCCCTATTTTCTAAACGTAATTTTTTGAACAAGTGCTGACCAATCTTACTTAACGAGGGCCACGAGTGGCAGAAACTTTAGAATGCAAAACTTGGATTCAGTCTTCCGAATAAACTAATAAAGATGGGTGGTCATTGGGGTGTAGCACTTAGTTCCCAATTCCGTAGGCATAGATGCAAAGCTACGAAATAAGACATTAAAAATAGATTCTTAAAGCAAAATATAATAATAATCACATGAAGAACAAGTAGAACTTACTCCTCATTTATAAAAATCATATCACAAATTTTATTAATATAATGTATTTAATAATAGATCATAGGAGGAAAGTCATACAATCATGTCAGTAACAGCTGAAGTCCTTCTTAAGCCTGAGATGAGAAAGAAATGAGAGGCAGTGCTGCCGCTGTGTCTGCTGACAGCAGAGTCAAGAGAGCTGGTTGAGGGTGAGCTGCATTTTACCAAGCAGAGTGAACCGGGAGCAAAGCTGTGTGTGTTTCTTGGTGACCAAAGAGGACCTCAAGAATGGAAGCTTTTGCTTTTTTAAGAGGGTTTTTTTTTTCTTTTAGTTCATTTGAGTTCCTTGTAGATACTGGATGTTGGGGCCTTTGTGAGATCCATAATTAGCAATTTTTTTTTCCCATTTGGCGAGTTTTCTTCCCCATTCTGTGGGTTGTCTCCTCACTCTCTTGATGGTTTCTTTTGCTGTGAAGAAGCTTTTCAGTTTGATGAGGTCTCACTTTTGGGGGTTTGATCAAGAATTGGTTGCCTACTCCAATGGGCATAAGTGTGTCTCCTCTGCTTTCTTCTAGGATTCTTATAGTTTGGGGTTTTTTGTTTTGCTTTGTTTGCTTTTAATTT